TGTGTGTGTGTGTGTGTGTAATGAGGTTTGGGGGGTCGATCAGTTTGCAACAAGCAGCAGGTGCATGGCGCCGGCACTAGTGAAATCAGCACAATTTACGTGCACAGACGCATTTTATCAAAACTACACCATATCAAAATGTCTCGTCAGACCTGCCTGCTTTTAATCACGCAAAATTATAAAACCATCGATCTCATTCACCTATAACCTAATATCAATACAACTGAATTAGCTGGGTTTTTTTTAAATTACTTCATATCTATCATAACACATTTGTTAATGCTTACATGTATAGGTATTTCTTGTAATCTGTCTATTAAAATGTTTGGAAGGATAGTTGTGTTGAACTGTGATGGTAAGGTGAAAAAACAACGTGTAATCAATGCAGACTCAAAGCATTTGGCCTCTGCAGAGATGGCTAATTGCAGCTAATATTTCACATAAAGACCCGGAAAAAAAGAGAACAGTAGTGCCCCGTCTAAAACACTGAATGGCAGGTCACGGTCATACAACTATAAATTACCACTCGGTCAAGAGGAATGCTGGGAGCCCTGCTTCTTACCTACTGAAGAAAGGAGGCACAGAAAGTTTAGTCCAAAGGCCCCGTTCATTCCTGCACTGACAGCCGTGCGGCTGAGGCTATAGGAAAACTGGTGCTCTTTGGCTGCTGCATGAATACACACCAATAGAAAAGTTGTGTTCAGTTAACCGGTGAAATCCGAGAAAAAACGGGGCAGGGCAAGTATTTCTCACCGCCAACTCCGGTCTAATAGCCCCCTCCTTCCTCTGGTCCCCTATAGTTGCGTTGACAGTGTCTGCATTAACTTCTTTGTACACGATGTTATAGTTGAGAACGAAGGGAAAGTTCAACTCTGACCTCTAAGCGGATCATCGCGACGCAAACAACCATCAGTTCAAACACGAATCAATTGTATTTTGTTCAGAAGAGAACCCGCTTTGCTTTTCTCCCTGTAAAGGCACTTCAAATCTGGAAGCGATCAAAAAATAATCGTCTTTACGTTGTCGACTTTCATGCCAATCTTTTCTATTTCCTTTTTTTTTTGACAGACGCAGTATTTTTTCCCCACATAAATGCAAATCGACTCCAGGAAGCGAAAAGAAACGGTGAAAAAACATGTGAATCTCCATTGTTGCCGCACTTGTGTCACATTCTCGTTTACTCTCATGTAAGTATCACACACAGAGATTACTCCTCGCTAAGTTCTTTTGTCTTGTGATCCATATTTGAGTTGACAGATCACGAACAAGAGCTCCCCCACTGTTAATGACCCCAGTGAGCAACAGATAGACTCGCACTTCCAGATCTTTTTTTTCTTTCTTTTTTTTCTGCCGCTCCTCTGGCCTACATATGTTTGCAGCTAGAACAATTCTGTATCTGTTTACATGGCTCTCATTTACATTGTTTAACATGCTCTAATGGAAAACTCACTGAGATTTAATTAATATTGACTTGTTTGTCTGTTGCTCCTATAGCACTATACCGTTCAATTACGATGATAGGTCGCTAACACACGATTTGCTGGAGTATTTACTGCAAAGCCTTATAAATATTCTCGTGGTGATTAAAACTGCAAGTATAAGGGCTACGAAGGAGTGTAACTGGCGACTGTAAAGTTTGCATCCTTAGCTCACTTTAAAAAAAAAAGAAAAAAACTACTTCAAAAAACGCTTGTATTTCTTTTTAAGTAAGTTAAGTTTATGTGCATAAAACAGCGTTTTCCAGGGCCGTGGGTTTAATGAACGTAATTTTGCGCAAATGAAGCCCATTCATCGCTTGTTTTATATTCATGTGTCCCTATCTGTGGCTCCATCTCTCAGATACAGCCCTAATCCTCGTGTCCTCCTTTGCCGATAAAAATGCTCTTCAGTTTACGATTAATTTAATCTCAATCATAGCCGGGACTTGTCGCAGCCAATAAAACTTGTGGAGTGCGTAAATGGAGAGGCGGGGGGTGCGTGATAAGGTCTGGTGGAGCGGCGGTGCCATGTCCCCACGGTGCTCTTGATAGGGCCTATCTGTCTCTTGCAGGCCGATTTAAGAACCGGAATGGGTTTAAAATATGATACAGATTTACTTCATCTACGATCGACTGCCAATGAGTGCGGCTGGAGATGCTTTGTTTTAGCCAAGCGGGGAGCTGAGCCTTGCGTTTGTCTGCGTCATGTCCTCGGTTACTTCAGGATCACAGACCTATTGAGTCGAATGGCGGAGGCTTTTGACACTACACTTGTTTTAGGTCCTGCTTGGTTTCTGTCTGGTGGGGACTTTTGCAGGTAGATAGCTTTATGTGGTCACTTCATCCAGTGGTCTGATTACATTTACTAAGTGTGTAAAAAACAAAACAAAAAACAACATAACATAGCCCATAACTTTTTTCAAGCCAAATTTCACATTTAGTGGAGAGAATTTCATTAAGTCCAACAAATATCTCAAAAAACTGCTTTTATGTTTTTTACAATCCCCCTGTCATTGCTTTTCTAAATAAAGTCATTAGAAAAACACATTGAAGTAGTTCCATTGGGGGCGTTTTGTGGTGTCTTGGTCTGTATTCAAAATTTAAATACCTCCTCACATTTTCCGTGGGCACACTCATGATCATTTGTATATAAGCTTTCACTTTTTCTTTTCTTTCTTTTTTCTTTTTTCTTTTTCTTTTTCTTTTTCTTTTCTTCTTCTTCTTCTTCTTTTTTTTTTTGTTTTTTTTTTTTTACAAAAAAAGTAATAAAAAGGAAAGAAATAAAATATCCTGGTAGTGATCTGCGAATCATCTGTAACACCACAGGTAATAACGGGTGCTGGAAAAACAAACTTTAGTTCTCTTATTAAAATCAGAGCGAAATCTGTCATGATTAAATAAATGGAAGTTTACACTGCTGGAGTCCTCTTCGCAGGTTTTATGCCAGTGTTCAGTTTCTGAAAGTCCTGCGGTTTCTCCGTACCAAACAGTGGCTACTGTCCTACTTTCTGTTACTAAAGACACCACCGCAGCACTCACAGACTCGATTCGTATCACAGAGTTGCGTGTAGCACATTTACATGGGGAGAGCCCGAGCGCTGCTTCTAGGAAACAAATCTCTGAGAAAGTGTTTCCACCAAAACTGCAGTTCGTGCAACAGTGTCCTGTGGCAAATCTGCTCTAGTCTGCAGAATAATTGGTTGGGGATTTGGATGCAAAGGGACTGCAGGAGAGAAAGCCTTTTTTTGGAGGGGGAAATGGTTCTCGTCCGAGGAAGAAAAGCTCTTTTCAGGGGCCACAATGGGAGATTGGGACAGGGGAGGAGTCCCATCGTGATTAGCCCATTTAATGGCGCGTTTACTTAATTTCTGTATTCACTAGCAACGGTAAACAAAAGGGGAAATGGCACTCACATTTTTAAGTGCTGCATGACGTTGACATTTGCCAGAATTTGGAGACTGAGGCAGTCATATAGGCGATTTTGCCTGCATCATATACGTTTGAGCCAGGAGTGTAATCATAAAATAAAGCAGACGTCTTCTTTTGGAAAATAAAATTACAAACTTAAAACTGAATTACACCGTTGTGCTGCTTTTGTCGCTGCACACGACCAAGCTGTCTACGCCAAGACGATACAAATAATGAAATCCTGAGTTAACACTGTACTTGAAATGAAATCAAACTAATTTTAGGTGAGACCAGCCCCCTGACTGAATAACCTGCTCCGAGGCTGGATAAGCCACGATGAGCATTAATGCTTCCACAATCCAATAATGATCCAATATGAACATGTGTTTAGCCACTTATCACTGTCCTTATCCGTAATCGGATGGAAATACAGACATCAACATGCAAAGAGGTATAGCAAAATGAATAGTGCGTTTGATCTTTAGAGTCGTAACTACAAGACACATAATAACTACGCGATGAAAGGGAAATGACATTGGCAAATGCAAATAAGCGCTCAGAGTGACCCCGGTGGACGGAAGAGTATATATATGTTTTTGGTTTTGTTTCTGTTTTTTTTTTTGCCATTAACAACCCACCCATAATCAAAGAAAACCAACAAAAACGCCTACAGCACGTCAGTTTTAAGTTTTGACAAATATTTTATGTAGGAACACCAAGTCAAGAAAAGTGAGGAAGGGATAGAAAAGAGGATGACACGGGGGAGAGCAATAATTATGTACAAGCATATTTCTACACGTATATTACAGACCGGGAGAATGATCGCATTATTTGAGATATACATAATTCAATATAAAATTTCGAAAATAAAATTCTGATACAGTCATAAACGGTTCTGTTCGACATTTTTTGACCATGTACCCCACAGGCGGTGACAGAAGTGTATTAAAAAAAGGTGCTTACGACTTAAAATGATTGTCTGATGAACACAAAGTAAAAACAGGATTGCATCTTGTCTGCATGGCGGCTGCTTCACCGTCATATCATCATCATCACTTGGACTAGAACCGGAGATGGGAAAAGGTGCGACGAAAACACCAAGACGATCTGTTTTATTCCCTCTGATCGATGTTCCTGATGGAAAATCTTGCATTCAGGATTATTTCCCTGATTACAAAATCAAAAATAAAATAAAATTTAAAAAAAAAACCCATCATGCAAGTAGTCTAGTAGTATGGTGGTGGTGGTGGTGTGGGGGGATGAAGAGGAGGGGGAGGCGTGGGTCCTTTGAAAGCGCTTTTTAATAAAAAAAAAAAACAAAAACAAAAAAAAAACCGACGTGCTTTAACTCTTTTTATTTTAATATTTATATCAATCGGTCCTTTTTTCATCCGCGATATTTCATAGTCTTTTTTCTTCCTCTAAGGTCCATTTTCCCTGTAAATATTTCTCTTTTTGTTTGTTTTTGTGTTTTTTTCTCCGTATCATACATCGCACTCCGAGTCACTGGATGTGACGGACAGGATGGACGTCCCAGTATCAACTCTCTCTGTCATACTGGAAACGCTGGTGGTGGGACTTGCCGCGGTGGAAGGCGACTCTGCCGAGCTGTGAGGGGTGAGACCGGCCTCTGAGAGGGACCTCATACCGGCTGGTCCTATTGCTTGGTGTTGGAGCCTGGAGAAGAAAAGAAACGAGGAGGGGGGAAAAAGAGAAAAAATGAGAGAAATGGCAATTAGACCTGAGAATGTCCCCCTTCCCCTCCTCCTCCTGCAAAATAGGGGTTCAAACTCGCCTTTCTTTCCCCCTGCCGGCCCCAGGCATGCATGCGTGCTTTTATCAAATAGCCAGCTTTCAGGGGACAAAACACATCACTATTTAGACTACCAAACGTTGGATGAAATACTAGGGCTGTGTTGTTGTTGTTGTTGTTGTTGTTGTTGTTGTTGTTGTTTTTTAACTTAAATTTTTTTTCTTAGAGATCAACGTCCTAGTCAACACTTTGGAATATAACTGATCCATGTTGCCAGTGCAGGGAAGCTTCAAATCCAACTTGCTGTCTTTGATATAGGCATTTTGAAGACATTTTCAATTTGGAAATCTGTGTTACTGCTCTGAGTTTGTTCAGCGTTTATTATTATTTCTTCATTCTGCACACGTGTATTCATGCTCATCAACAGGACTTTGCACGCCTAAAACCCCAAAATAATTATATATCATTGTTTGAAATAAAACATGGGTATTCTCACAACGACAAACTGCCGTGAGCCTTTGGCACAGATGTGTTTTAGTCTGATGGTAGGGGACGTGTATGAATGAGTGACGTCGAGATCCAGGTTACTCCAATCATCCTAAATGTTTATCTCCAATCCACTCATGATAATAACTCCATCGCGTGGGGATAATGTCAGCCTGGAAATATATCTATTCATTTAGCAAAAACATTAGAGTACTGTTCATATGGCTTAGTGCTCTCCAAAGTATTTTCTAATCAATTATGGCATTTCAGTGGAATGATACCACACTTAATGTTATGAATACAGCCCATGTCTTCAGATGTTTTTCTCTACGCATGCTCAGATATCAATAATATCGTTATTATCCTTTGAGATAGTCGTTGAGTTCAACAACACTAAGCAAAATTTGATGTTAAAACGCTTAATGCTTGCATTAAGAACTTAAATTGGTCAATACACATAAATAAATAAATAAATAAATAAATACATTTACTAAATTTAACAATTTAATATGTGTTTAAATGTAAAGATAAGACAATTTAACTTTAGAATAATAATAATAATAATAATAATTATTATTATTAAAACTAAACACTGTCCTGTTTTTATTTCAGCTGATTGAAATAATTCACTAGGTTGTTTACAATTTTACAAGCGAAATAGTTGTAAAATTAAACAAATCCTGCAGCGGATGGTTTTTCTAAATATAAATTCAATAATCTTCATATGTTGCAAGAATGCTTCGCCTCTTGTAAAAATATAAACAAGGAGTTTCTGTTTAAAAAGAACTCGGCTCAATTATCTCTTATCAAGATTGACAACAAATGTAGTTTGTGTTTGTATTATTTTATTAGTCAGTTTTTTAAAAATCCAAAACTTAAAATAAATGGAATTTTCCATTCTTAAATACAATTTGCATTCAATTTAAAATACATTAAAAATGATCAATCTGCAAAAAATGTTTAAAAGCTAATTTTTAATAATAATAGTGAAGTTTTTATGCTTAGGAGAACTCTGGAGATCTACAAAAGGAATATTTTCGACGTTTATCCGGGTTTGATAACAAAATGTCGCCGCAGCGCAGTCCCTCCACCTGACAGCCAGACTTATCTTTTTCCTAGACAGTCTCCAATCGCAATATAAAGCTTTAAAAAGCTCGCATTTTCTTTTGAATGTGCATTAAAGACAAACTTGTGTGCATACTCGTGTTTCGACGGCACACAGAAAAGTCACTAACCTGTTTTTGGCAGCCGCAGCTCTGTCTCTTTGCCTCCGGTTTTTAAACCAGTTTCCGACCTGTGTGGGAGTGAGTCCAGTGGCTTGAGCCAATTCCCTTTTCTTGCTGGGATTTGGATATGGGTCCTGAAGGTACCACTCCCTCAACAGGCTCCGTGTCCGCTCTTTGAAACAGTGCGTCTTCTGCTCGCCGTCCCAGATGGTCCGAGGCAGCGGAAACTTCTTCCGTACCCGGTACTTATCGACAGGTCCGAGGGGACGACCGCGGAGCTTCTCGGCCTCCTGGTAGTGAGCTTCCAGCCACATGGCCTGCAGTTTGCCATGAGAGTCCTTGGTGAACTTGTGGTTCTCCAGGATGTGGTAGAGGTCTCTGAAATTCCCCGTGTGGAACGCCACCACGGCCCGAGCGCGCAGGATGGACTCATGCTTGTTGATCGCCTCGCACGCTCCCGGAGCCACAGGCAAGGACCAGAGGAAGCGGCCCAGCCGTTCGATGTCCCCGGTCTCTTCCAGCGTCTCACAGACGCTTGCCACCTGCTCCGGGGAAAAGTTGAGGGTCGGTAGTTGAAACATGGACAAGTCTTCTGGAGACCTGGTGGTGGGAGCGCTGTTCGCCAGGAGCAGAGGGCGATCAGCGAAGTTTGGCAGGAAGAAATGGGAGGGATAAAGCTCTAAAGGGGATCTGAAAACCATGGAAATGACCTGAGAGAGAAAGAAAATTATCGAGAAAAAGGGAAAAACCGAAAAATACGGCAAGTAAAAAAGATTGAATGATTCAATGGCTATCGCCTAATGACACCAGCCTCATAATATCTCCCCCCTAAATCCGCCGTTGAGTGTAGCATTGAAACATTTTGTTTCCCTTTTCTATTGGTCTTCTTGGTGTCGTTGTAGCGTTGTCATGGCAGCCCTGCCAATCACTGTCAAGCGTGCCAATCATTAGCCAGTACGTAGCGCGAGGCTTTCACCACTTGTGCAGCATGCACGGGGGGTTATCAGAGTCTCCGATCTCCACAGCAACCCTCCCACCGCATCGCGCGCATCAGGCACAAGCCAATGCTCGCCTATCTGCTGAATGGAATGAGCAATTAGAGGGTGGAATATTATTGCGATCTTAACGAGGCTCGTTAAAGCTAAAGAAGATATGTAGACTGGAGATGCTTAGCAGAGACGGGAAGGGAGGGAGGGAGGCAGAGGGAGCTTTAAATGGGTGACAAATGGACAACCAATGACTGCAACTCGGGAATACACGTTTTGAATAGAAGCGAGTCAATTTGCACATTGTTTTTGTATAGTTTTTCCTGTAGTAGCTACTTTTTAGAATCTTTTCATCACTCCATTCATTTTTGTGCGACGGAAATGAAAGCGTTAGTCTTCTGGGTTACATTTTCCTTTTCATAGATACAAGTAATCGCTTTACATTATTTTTTCTTTTGAAAAAACAAAAAAATATGGTGTAGTCCCTTAAGCCTTTGAGGGTTTTTGTCTTTTGTTTCTGTTTGTTGTTTGTTTTTTGCCCTGGATCCGTCGATGGTCTAAAAAACTGCATGTTTGTAATTTTATGACATAATCCGCGCATGACTTTACTCGGCCTAGCTGTTCTGTGTGGTCACTTTGTGATGGGTGGGTACTTGTCCGGGGGTATACTGCAGTGATGCCGCTCCCCCTCCTGCTGTCCCCGGCCCTGCCTCTGGGACGCTGGGTGCAGTCCTGGCCCCCTGCCCGTTGCCTTCTCTCCAACCAACAGAATTTATTGTTACAAATTAATATCGACGCGCAGCATTGTGTTGATTGAACAAAGATCACGGCATTGTAGTGGGAAAACTAATTTGCCAGTGGCATCGCCCTTTTAACAGTTTATCGCGTTTTTTATGGCCCGGCCCTCTAATTAAAACTATTAGGCTAGTATTGGAATTACAATCAAATGGCAACATGAAAGCTTCTTGGGGACATAAAAGCTATTTCATTTATTTGATCTAGTGGCAAGGACATGATCAATGTCCACATTCAGTCATAGGACTCGGCTTTTAGTGGTAGTAGTGGTAGCCACGGCGGTGTGATTTTCATGTTTATGGCTAAACCGGCTTCATATTTAGACAGAGCTTATAGGGTGTTAAAATAGTGTGAATTCAGTCTAACACGAACAGTGCTCACATTGTGAAAGAGCCGTATGCAGGGCATAGAATCTGGACTTCGCTTAATCCACCCTCAGCAAAGCTGACATAATGATCCTAAGCCGCCTTTCTACAAAATCATTCAGGAATTCAAAACGTTCCCTTTCCCCACTCCGAGTTACACATTCTCCCGGCTGACCAACGACTTCAAGCTTGGAGGGACAGTGAGTACCTCAGTGTGCATGTATAGTCAGTGCTGCCTGTTTATGTCCACCACAAACCTTACCTGACGCGCTTAAACAACGTGATTGCCGCCGAGCAATTAGCCAACACTGGCGCACTAAAACGCGTTCTAGGTAAAGCAGTGCTTTAATTCGTGCGAACATGTGCGTGCAGGAGTGGGCTGCGAGTGTCTGTGTCTGGAGGTGTATGTGATGCAGAGTGGGCGTTGTGATGATCTTGCAGCAGGGTCAGGCGTTTGGTTCGTGTGTTACTTCTGGAGTTTGCGCGCGTGTTTGTGCGTGTGGGGGCAGGGTAGAGTATGGAATCAAACCTGCCCACTGCTGTCCTATACGAACCTCAGGAGGACTAATTCCAAGTGGCACTTGAATTGGTCCCGTTGGAAAGCTCTGTGGACTGGAAGTAAAGGCTGGTATTTTCATGCTGGTGTTAAAACTAACCTCCTAGCCTATACCCCCTCCTCTTTCTCTTTCTTTCTCACACACATATACACACATGCACGACCCCAACATGAAGTTGAGAGTGTGGGCTTAGCAGCATTTCTCCAAATATGCAAAGCCTCCTACCTGACCGGGTTCCTGGTGTACCAATTTAGCTGATCACCATTCAACCCAAGGCTGCAGGTATTATGTAGCATTATGTTTTGGAGGAGCCTTGTTTGGGAGTAGCCCTCGCAGGCAATTCGGAAATCACTCTTAGAAAAGACTAGAGGTGAAATGTAAAACCTGAATGGGGATTGAAGGAGAAAAGCCACTGGTAATTCACATTCTTTTACATGGCTTTTGTTTACGTTAAGCATGTAATTAACACCTCCCAAACAAGTTTATTCACCTGCCGTAATTGTGTGTTTATCCGAGAGCTTGCTGAATGTTCCTAGCAGCGGGGGACGAGAGCTCTGAATGCACATTGAGCATTTAGCGTCTTCTCCGTTTACTTACAGCCTAAACCTCCAAACAAGACAACACAAACAGCATTTTGCATGCTAAAAACTGGAAATAGGCTGGTCAAGCAGGAACAGGCGTCCGTGTCTGTTAAGCAGCCGGATCTCGCTTCCCATTCCTTTTGGCAGAGCGTTAAATGGAATGTCAAACTTTGTGTAGAAAAGTTTTGTATAAATAAAACAAGTTACTACTGTGTTTTTTTTAAAAGTTCTTAATATAATAGGGTAATACTGTTCATTGACCACGACATGTTAGTCTTATCGGAACATATTGCGTCTAAAAGTGCTCGTTAATCTCCATTAAGTAGTTATTTTTCTTTTTCTGTCTGTTCCAATAAGGGGAGCAAATAAACAAAGCTGATGTTACGTCACGTTTGGGAGTGAGAGAGGGAGAAGGGGACCGGATGAGAGAAAGAAAGAAAAGGTGTTGACTGTAAAAGGTAAGAGGGAAAGAGAAGGCACGAAAGAAAGGGTCTTGTTTTATTTTTTGCTCCCTCGTTGACCCCGGTTTGGCAGAAGCTTCCCAGAAAAGGCAGCACACCCCTCCTGGCAAACACAGGAGAGGCACATGTGCCTACTGCTCCATCCTGGATTCATCTCAACATTACACAGACACATTGGAGAAATGACTGGTACGTACAAAAAAAAAGGTTTTCTCCTTTGCTTTTCTCTTAGAACAAGGCAGTCTAGTTTCTGCTGAATTTATTTTCGCACGCGTCAGAGGATGCATTTATTATTATCCTGCCAACAGAGAAATGCAATTTTATTTTAATCACGTGGAAACTCAACGCTTGTGTTTTTCTCTCAGAATATTAGGAATTACCTTTCCCCCCCACCTTGCTCGTTCTTGTCTCCTGCAGGGCTGTAAGCTGGCTCCAGTCAACGAGCGGTCACCATTTGAGCTTGGAAGCTGTCGTTGGAGATGGCACCGCTTCACGGTTATTTCACTGGTCAGTTTGTCCAAAAGTAGGATGGAAATCGAGCTGCAATGTCTGTAAGTTCCGTCTGCGACGTTATCGAGTCATTATTTTTGCGGACAATTCATTTATTTAAACAAAAATATGGAATTAAGCATTAAAAAAACTTTAACAGACCTTGATATGAGGCTAATCTATCCTTTAGATCAGAAAAGTTACATTTGGTGTTATCTGACTTTTCTCTCACCGAGAATCGGGGAGATCTGTCTTTGCAGAGCAGATGTGTGATGCTGTCGGGACGGGCGCACAATCGCCTCCATCCCTTTGCTGGCTAGTCCAGGGTACGGAGTCGCTGCTTTCTCCCCACACTGTAAAAAGTATCAGTCTAAAGGTGTCATTTAATGTAGCACTAAGTTTTAAAAATACGGGGTTATTTTGGGGGAAATGAATGGCTCTATCATACATTTGGGAGAAGGATGTAGAAGGAGACATCTCAATCTGATATAACTTTGTCTGCCTCTGTTTAAAGTTTCTCGTGAAAATTTTAAGTTAGTACAAGAAATGCAGAACTCCGCTTTCTTTAGAAATATTATACAGCTTTCTTTTTAAAAAATGCTATGCATAAAATTTGTGCCACTGGAATATATCTTCTTCTTTTTTTTACCGCATATGAGGAAATTTTTACGAAATGAAAACAAATTGGATATTTTTTGCAGTGCAAAAATACGATTTAAGCATATAGTCAGCAGCTTTAACAACTGCATTCTATTTTTTAAAAGCATTAAAAATATATATTAGACCTGCATATGTGACGCTGTTACGATTTGGTTCATTCCATAGTGAACTCAAGCGCCAAAACAATTAAGTCTTAAAATCTTAGCCAGCAATATCTTAAAACAGCCACTCAATAACAACTTGTGATCACGTAAGCAATAGGCAAAACCTCTGTTTACGTTTGCAGATACATGCACGACGCACAATAGTGTCTAAATTTAAACTTAAAGAAACAGAAAAACGCCATGATTGAATTTAAAACATTTTTTCACCGCAAATGTGACTGATCTGTAAACGTGGCTCCAACTTTAATAGTAAATCTTTTACAAAAGTTTTAACATCTCTCTCTCTCTCTCTCTCCCTCCTTTCTTTTATTGTTTTTATTGTGTGGTCTCATTAGGGGGACTTCCTGGCAGGGCTGGGAGCTTGTATCGGAGCTGTCCAATCAGTGTATTTACACGGGTTGTTAGCGACAGTTAATGAGGGCTCCTCCCCGGGCCGGTAGAGAAAGGCGCCTCAACATTAAGATTTACCTTGTGTCAACTCGTTACTTCTAATGAACCTCCATGCAAAAGCCTCCTCGTTCTCAATGGAGCCGTGCGCCCGGATCTTGTGTGTGAGACCCTGGAAGAGTGGAGCTGCAAGCCGGCCTCCCTCTCCCCCACCTCCTTTTCTTCCGCTCACTCAGGGAGTGTTGCTTTTTCTCTGCAGGCCCGGTTCTATGATGCATGCATGCAGTGTGTATTTGCGTGTGTACATGTTTGTGTGTGGGTACGTCTCCTCTTCATGGAATATGGCGTTAGGAATCCAAATGTTTTCATTATATATTTAAATTTGTGCAAAAGGGCTTTTCTCCATGTAGATTAACACATATTGGACTACAACGTAAAATTATACGTAGGCTATATATTTACATAAAATGTGTTTAATCGATAAAGAAAAAAAAACAGTCATTAGAAGTGTGTTCTGAGACAAGACATAGGCGTAAGAGAGTGTTTGTGTTTGCGT